ACAGACGATGAGGATTCGGAGAATGGGAGCAAAGATGGTAAAGAGGGAAAGGGGAGGGGTAGGAAGAGAGATGTGAAGAGGGTTACACGGAGTTCGGGAGGAAGAGGGGCGAGAGAGGAGAGTGGGAGGGTGAAGAGAGGGGTTGGAAGGCCACCAAAAAGGGCTACTGCGGCGGATCTACGGCCAAGAGAGGGAGAGACAACGTTGAGAATGAGGAGGGAGTGGGGGGTGGTGGGAGGGCTGGAAACGGTCTAGAAGGTGATGGTGATTATGCTGTATAATGTATAGTATAGTAGTGATTGCGTTTTCGTTTCAATTGGGTATTTGCTAAGTCTCTAGACTCTAGTGTTTTTACTTAACTAGAGGGAGAGGGAGAGGAGAGGGAGGAATTAAAAGAGTAAACAATATGTTGGGCCTCTTCGGTATACGCAGCATGTGCAGATGAGATGAATGATAGGGTTTTTAATCTCCTGTTTGTTTCTTTTGTTTTTCACTAACATCAACTGCTCTTAGAATTAGACGAAAACTAAAAAAAAAAAAAAAAAAAGCTACCAATTTGATATTCCATCCAATATGTGCGGAAAGACAAAAAAATGCCAAATTGAATTGAAAAGATGTGAAGATTATAAGGAGGAGTTGTTGGGTGTGAACAACGAAACATGGGGTCGACCCCAGATGGTTGGCCCACCACTTCCTGGATCTGGCAGGGCTGGGGTTGTAGCCCTGGTTAAGGGTGTAAGTGCAACCCTCGAACAATTACCACGCAGAAAAACTACCAGGCTAAAAATTTTAAAGTGTCGGGTAAATGTGTGTAAAGTCCGTTTTCGGCTGGCCAATTCCACAGGCCCATGGCCAGGCAAGCCGACCTTTCTTGGTCGGGTTAAAATAAACTCAATCTAATCGAAAGTGTTATAATAATAATAATAATTAATTTTAACTAAAAATTTATTTTTATATTTTAACAATGAAATATTCAGAATTTGTAGGGTCTAAAGTCCAAACCAATCATCTATAAAATTTAAAATGAAAAGTTGATATGGAACTACTTTTTATTAGTTAAAGTTTTCACTTTGAAGGTTTTTTTTAAGGGTTAGTATTCAAGCTTTAAGTCTTTGATTCTTTTTTTTTTTGGTAATTTTTACTATAAAACGAAAAAAATGATTTTAACTTTTAATAGATTATATATTTATTTAAAATAAACAAGAAATAAAATTTAACATCAACTAATCATTTTATCATAATTAGATATTTCTAATAGAATATTTTTCATAAATATTTCATCGGGAAAAACTTCATTGATAATATCCCTGATTATCAATGGATTTCTATTCAATAATCGATGAAACAAACTTCATAGATTTTGAGATTAATTTTAGCATATTTTTTATGGGAATTTGTTTCGTTTATAGGAACTTTCTTATTTACAAATAATTAAATAGAATTGTTAAATTTTTTAAAATTAACTTTCAGAATTATCTTTCAAAAACAAAAAAAAAAAGGTCGATGTCCTCATACAAACATATTGAATTTTTATTTTACTAGTCTATAGAAAAGCAGCCAATCCCCTTGGCCCTATCCTTATCCAAAAAGGTTTAAAGAAAGAAAAAGAAAAAACAGTTTTTCCACTATGAAATGCACCAAAAAAGGCTGCCCAACCAAGTGAAAATGTAAAACTTTGATGAGCCCCCCAAGGCCTGTTGAGTTGTCCCACGAACAGTACTGAACCCATCAAGTTTCCATACCAATTCATTCTCTCTCTCTCTCTCTTTCTCTCTCTCTCAAAACTCCCAATTGTTTCTCGTCTTCTGATTTCATTCCATTCAGCTCTCCACAAAAATGTCAAACTACACACGGGAGTCACACACGGTAGAAAGTCCTGATGGGGTCAAGCTGAGCACAAGAGTTTTCAAACCAAAAGAAGAGATCAAAGACAACAACCTAGTCATAGTTCTTGTCCACCCTTACTCAGTCTTGGGTGGCTGTCAGGCTCTTTTAAAGGGGATGGCTTCTGGGTTAGCTGACAAAGGTTACAGGGCTGTTACTTTTGACATGAGAGGAGTTGGAAGGTCAACTGGAAGAGCTTCTCTTACAGGTTTTACTGAAGTCAAGGATGTTGTTGCTGTCTGCAATTGGGTTTCTCAAAATCTTTCTTCTGACAATATCTTGTTGGTGGGTTCTTCTGCAGGTATAAATTTAAATATCCTCTTAGCTTGTTTTTTTATTTTTTTATTTTTGCGCAAATATCTTGGTTTTTGTTATGGCGAACTATTTTTGGTTTTTGGGTAGTGATTAGATTGTTGTTTTAAATTTAGATCCCAGCAAAACAGGTTTTAGATTCTTATGTACCTAATTTGCTTTAAAAAGGAAGTGAGAAAATTTTAATTTCTTTCTAACACTGAAGGGAAAGTTGATTGGACAAGTCCTGTTTCTATGATTTATAGGCTAATTTAAATATAACTTCTTGGTCAAGTGCTAATCATATAAATTGATTACATAGGTATTTTTGGTTTTAGGTTTTTTGATGTATTTGGTGTGTTGTTTGACGAAAACTTTTACTTGGCTTTTATATATATATATTAGTTTGAAGTCACTTGCCATCTTCTTGTTAATGGTTCCAGATATTATGATGAGTAATTTCAGAATTTGGAAAAATTACCAGACTTGTAGACGAGTACAGGAAATGTTAAGAGGTTTGATTTGTAGTTGTTTTAGGAAATGGTTTGTTGAAAAATTTGATATTTGCCACAATTTTTGGAAAAGCATGCCTCTCTGTCTCTGATAGTTGTTTGAATCATCATCAAAAAAGATGGATGAAACTTATTTCAATATGCTTGATGACCAAGTTAGTGTTAAACTTGAAATTAGATGTTTTGAGTGGTACACTGCTGGTTGGTTAACTAACATACAGATACAGGACAATAGCCTATTGGTAGCCACTGAGAAAGGAGGCCTTAAGTTCAGCTCCACGCTGACCAACCATCTGCAATGATCAAAGGCTTTGTCCTTCGGAGATACTTAAGTATTAAGAGTAATATCAGCACTAGCCTTATAAGTAAAGGTGGCGCTCTGTGCCTTGATTTTTATTATTGGCTAAGCCAAAGGTAAGTCGTGGAGCTCTTGTTTGCTCTGTGCTCCACTTTATCTGTAAAGGTGAAGGTTGCCTGAGTTATTATTTTTGGCTAGTTCTGAGCCAAATTGACAAGTTCTCTTTCCCACTATGCTTTGCTTTATATGTAAAGGTGAGGGGTTGCCTGGATTCTTATTAAAGGCCAAGTCGAAGGCAAATTGGTGAGTGTGTTTGTTTCCCCTCTATGCTTGAAGTTGCTGGAAAATTTACTTGTTTATTGTGTAAGTTGACCGATATTTTATCTTGAGTGGTAAATGAACTATTGGATATACAGTTTTTCTTCAATAAAGATAAAATATTGATGTGCAATGGATTTTGTGCAGTATTTGGGCTTACTGCCGGTGTAATTACATACTTAAAAAGTATTGGTGTTAGTTAGCAACTGTTACTTGGTGACAATTGCATCAATGATTGTGAGGGAAAAGTTTTAGTTGGTAGATTCAGTTAGTTTTTGAACAGCAGATTTGCTGTAGAACCAGTCTGATAATTATGCGATTGAGTTTTCAAAGGTCATGCTTTTTATATATTAAAAATAGTCATTTTGAGGTATCACATGCTCTTTTTGTTTCATTAATTTTGAGCATGGATTGCTTGGTGTGTCCCAGTAAATCACTTGGCCACAATGTGGTAGAGACCCATAATGCTGATGTGCTGAAAATAAGTTTTTGTTTTTTAAATTGAGTTTCTGTTGCTGGTCAGAGAAAAATGGGTGCTTTGGTGCAAGTCAATATTCATTTTTCCTTCTTACAAAGTTGACGGCAGTGAAATATGTTGAGTGCTGGTCACTCAATAGTTGAGAGGTTGAGAGAGGTTCACAGAAGAAAGAAACAGATCAACAGAAGTATGTGTGTGGGTGGTGGTGGTGGAGGGTGGAAAGCAGAAGAAATGACTTGACTGCTGTAAACTTTCTGTAAATGCACAAGATTGGGTTCTGCAATAGGGATTAATTAGGATGTTCAGAACAGGCTGCTTGTGAGCGGCCATGATCAATTGAGATTTTTTCTGTTACAGGATTGTTTGTTGATAAATAAACAGGGCCATGTTCGATTGAATTTGCTGAAGGAGTCTGAGAAGGGAAAGATGTTTCATAAATCATCTGTCATTACTGGGCCATGTGATTGCCATTTGTATTTAGCATGTAAAACCATATTTTCTTATTGCATTACAGCACCTTATCTCAATTGATAGGGATATCTTCCAGCTTTGCAATTTGCAATGTGATATTGCCTCAGCTAGCATAGTTTTTGGACGATGAAAGTATGTATAATTCCAGTTAACTTAACCTCATCTTTTGTTACAGGAGCGCCAATTGCAGGTTCTGCAGTTGATCAAATTGAGCAAGTTGTGGGCTATGTGAGTCTGGGATACCCTTTTGGCATGATGGCCTCAATCCTTTTCGGACGGCACCACAAAGCCATCCTACAATCCCCAAAACAAAAACTCTTTGTCATGGGAACTCGGGATGGATTTACCAGCGTCAAACAGCTTCAGAACAAGCTGAAATCTGCAGCAGGACGCAATGAAACACATTTAATCGAAGGAGTTAGTCACTTTGAAATGGAAGGCCCAGCTTATGATGCTCAGATGGTGAATCTTATCGTTGAATTTATTGCCTCCTTGACCTTGTAGGGCAAGCAGACAGCTCTTAGACTAACGCTTTGTGAATTGCTGTGAAAATTCGTCTTCTTAAAAACTCTGTTATTGGTTTTGTGTATGCTGATTTTTATGTATTTGTGTAATTTGCAGGAATTTAGAGGGAGGGTTGGTTTCCATGCTGTCTAATCAAACTGAAAACGTGGGTTCCACTGAACTTGGCTGCAATCAAATGAATAAGATTTAAGGAGAGAAGGAGAGAATAAAGCCAACAACAATATGAACATAACCATTTTACATGGTCAGAGATATTCACTGGTATTTTAAAATTAAAACAAAAAAAATTATACAAGCATTTTCCTAGCTTACGGTTAAATTCAAAGTCACAATTAAGAGTTAAAACTGATGACTAAAAAAGATTATGAACCAAGACACTGCTGGTGGCATGTCAAGGATATAACAAAGATACAAGCACTGGATTGGATGGATATACAAAGCTTGGCTAAAATCGCATGTCGTCTCGCTGACTTATCTCTTGTCACTTTTATTGCCATCAGATCCTTCAATCACTCTACCATTACCCATCTCATCCCACTGCCGTTTTCTCCATGCTCTTTCTTGTTCCATTGATTGTCCTTGTGAGAATGGATGTTCTCCATCTGCTTTTAAAGCCAAACAAATAAATAAAAAAAAACAGACGGCATTCTCCTTCATCAATAAAGCTATAAAACCTCTTTAACTGCTTACAGCCATATATCCCATTCATTGAGGTAACTAAAAACTCGTTTGGTGGTACAAGAGAGATCACATAAGCTTAACACATGTCACAAGATTTTTCCATTTTGTTTTTTTCCCTCCCTTATTTGCAGTATGTTTTTCATCTTGCTGATGTTGAAGTTGCATGAGCAGCAGTTAATTCACAAGTTAAGACAACTCCTATGCTATAGATGATGTATTCGTGCCTGTTTGAAATTTGAATCATAGCATTCATTCTTATGAGAATGGGAATGGGGGTAGAAACAATAATTAATTGGAAAGTTGTACACCTTTGCTACAGGTAAACTGAACATCCAGAAGCTACAATTAGATGATACAACAGAAGATGGTGCATCCTTATTTTAACTATTATATAAACATAATTATATGTAATTAGTTATTACCACTTTCACCGTCAGATGCATCTTCAAGCCTTGCAATTGCTTCTACTAGGGCTAGTTCATGCTCCTGCAATGATGAGTATCCATCATGATCACTGCAATAGCTGATACAGAACAATGCAAGAAAACTATTACAAGATCACACTTACTTTCAGCACTTTCTTTGCTTTCTCAATCTCCACGGGATCAGGTTGGCTTGCACCAAAAACTTTTTCCACCTGTTCAAAATTTACACAATTAGGAAAGAAGTGCACCACATTCAACAATTGCAGTCTATTAGATGATCTTCCAGCAGCAATTATACCTCCTTAATTAGAGTATCTGTATGAAGTATCTCAATATCACCCAAAACCTTTTTCCCAATACCATTTTGCGCCAAAGGAAAATCTTTTTTGGCCTGACCCTTTAAACTCCCCCTACCTCTACCTGCTCCGGCAACCCCACCACCACGTGCCATGGACTTCTTAATCCCACGGCCTGGTCCAGGGCGACCACCTCTACGGGATATTCCAGGATCATCACCTTCCCATCTAATATCTTCAGGAGATATCTACCAATATAAATACAACAATCAGTGGATGGCAGGAAAGCATAATCCAAAGGACTTATTCCAATGTTCTACTGTATGATCGAAAAAGAGTGGATAATCGAAATACTTTTCTTACTGCCAAAGGTGGCCAAAGAAGTAATAAAAAGCAAAAAAAAAAAAACAAAAAAAGGCCAAAGAAGTACTAGGATAATGAGACAAGTTACAGTTGACAAAATTACCACTTCAGCACGAAATAATTTAAGCTTAGCACAACGTTATGTACAGTGTATAGTGATCATACAACAGTTCCAAAACATGGACCATATCCTTGGAATATAATGCACAGCCCTTAATAAGTTTGAGTGAGGCAGAATGATAGTAGTGCGAGCAAATTATCAACATATGCAGACAGTTGATAATATTGGTCAGTATCAGTAACTAGAATTTAGTTAAAGTTGGATCAACAACTTGGAAATATATTACTGCATCACGTGAACCTTATTATTATTGATAAATATTCCAAAATACATGCAAGAGTAACTTGGGAACCTCCTAAGGATTATAATTCCCAGCCATAAACTGCATGCAAATTCATGAAAAGCATATTGATCACTGGTTAACTGGTAAGCTTGACAATGTTTTGAAACTCTATGAGATATAAACCATATCTCTGAACAAAACTGGCTCAAGACACAAGGATAGATATGCATATAAATTCACGCAATTTCTGATGAATGGCATAGTAAGTTCCCAAGAAACATATACTATAAAATTAAAAGTTGATTTTCTTAAAAATTGTACATTAACATAGTAACTAAAGATAAAACAGGTCAAAAGCAATTATACATTGCATGAAATAGCACTGAAATGCAACAATTCTACCTCTTTGAGATTGACCCATTCCCAGGTTTCATCTGCCGTATTAATATCATAAACCAAAGCATGCCGCCCCTATCAATATGGAAATACAAGATTACGAAGAGATCCATTAATCAACAGAATACTGTATAATGAACTGTGAAATATACCTCAACTGGGTTATAGTTTGTTATAACAGCCTCATAGAAATGGTTGTCTTCAGGCCACCTTGTCCAAACTTTCCTTCCAATTAATGGATCATATGGTGCTGCTTCAGCGGGTTCATTTGTTGCAAAGGCTCCAGAAGAGGTACGATTAGGAGCCTGGGGCCTTACAGGAAGACCTGTGGAAGGGTACTGCGTCGACTTCATTGAGGATGCAGCAAAATCATCATAAGTAAATAATGAAAGTAAAACACACATATCCCATTCATTAGCTTTTCTCATATCTCTTAAAATGAATTAACTCACTGATTTTGACTTCTTGCTCTTTGCTCCAGGGAGAGGACCTCGTCTCAGGGCAGATGAAGATGGTTGCATTGATGGATGCAATGCAGGAGATGGAGCGCCCATAGATAATGACGCTACAGACTGTGACGTTTTTTGCTTCTTGCGTGATCCTGAAACTGTAGGACTAGGTACAGTGTCATGAACAGGCTGACTAGTACTGAGCATCCCAGGCTGGAGCCCACTTGCTGTTCTCCATTCCCTAACAGCAAGAATTGATCAAAGTTCCCATTAAAAATGCAGAACTGACCAGAAGTCATTAGATATTTGATTGCATGGCATAGGATTATCAGACCTTATTCTCCGGAGGATATCATCAGCATTAACCCTCAATAGAAGCTCCCTATGTTCCTCATCTGATACTCTCAACTCCTTTCTGAGTTCAGTAATTAAACTTTCTTTCTCCTGAGAAGGAAAACGCATATAGTGTAAATAGCTTTAAAACCTACTTGACATAATCTTTATGGGACAAATTATTGAATAAAAGATTTTGACAAATACCCAAGTTAAGGCATCTGATTGAGCTTTGAAGGCCCGCAAGACCGAACTGTATGCTTCCTGCTCTATGAGGTGGATTTGAGTTTCCATGTCACTGTGCATCCTAGGCAAAGGAGCAGAACCTACAACTGCTGATCTTCCATTCCCTGCAGCAGTGCGACCCCCTCTTTGAAACCTATTCTGATGTGAAGGAGGGAGGTCATCATCTGTTCCTGCAGTTGTTTCAGATCAGAAAGATTCATTATTTGAGTTAAGCTTCTAGGATGTGGCACAATTTATGCCAGAGTTCAGAGGTAATAATGAATCTTTTTACCATTTTTATACCCCCGATTAGCAAAAGAAATCTGATTACATTCAGAATCTTTCATAAGGTTACCAGCAGTTATATCATTTCTTCAAAGCACCCTTTTATAAACATTATAGAACACTTCCAAACGATGCAGAAATTGCAACATTGAGAAAGAGAGAAAGGGGTGTGAGAAAATGGCCTGAACCCTAAATACTCACCCAAAATTAACCAAGGAATGCATCAATTAATCAAGCTGACAAAACCAACTTTTTCCATCTCAAAATCATTTAGTTAAAAAAAAAAAGAAAAAAAAAGATAAATTGAAAACTAAACTTTTAACTCAACTCACCACTGCTATCAGAAAGCCCATAGTCCATGACAGCTCCTTTAGATTCAGTCTTCACTAAACTCTATGATAACACTTTGAACCAATAGAAGCACCAGAAGCAAGCTGCTAAGTTGTTCAGCAAGACAAGGTACAAATCCTGGAAACAATAAAGATCCAATGAAGTCATAAACTTCGGCTACAATAAGAACCTCAATCAACTAAACTAGCTATAAACTCACTGTTCTCATTTTCTGTGCTACAGGAATTGAAAACAATAGATTATAAAAATAACCACAGCTCAATCCAAGAACCTTAAAATATGACTACAATTTTAAGCAGGGAAATTCCAATTGTAACTTCTTATCACTTCAAACTAGCTACGAAATCATTAAGAAAAAAAATTGATAGTGAGTGTTTCTGGTGTTTTACAAGTTAAATTTTCCGATTTAGGTTTCTGGCCTAATGAATTCGACTCAGTTACTGTTCCTAATTATGCATCAAAACACCAATTATTGAGGTACCAATTGGTTACTATTAGATTCTATATGCATGTTTGGATACAAAAGCAGATAATATTTTGAATAATTAAAAATTAAAAATGTATCTCTTTTTAAAGAAGAAAATACGCGAGTTTTTACTTTTATATAGAACAATTATGTTAGAATTGGTACTGTATTTTAATCATTTATTCATTTTTAAAACAATTATGATTTTGCTTTCATCATTTACTGTTACTTTATACCAACTTGTATTTCATGAAGCAAAAAGCATATAGCCAAAAAAAAAAAAAAAGAATACAAGCAAATTCATTGAAACAAAACCCTAACTCCCAAAATTAAGTTCTTAACCAAGAAGACGATGCAAAGATACAAACTTTCTATACTAAGTTAAGCTTCACAATTGTTTAACCAGTCCCGCCACATTAAAACCAAATCAAAAAAAAAAGAAAACATATTAGAAATTCAATTTTAAGTAAAATTCATCAAGGAGAAACCCTAAATTCACAAAATTAAGCTCCTCAATTACACAAAGAAAATCACTAAATGTTACCAGCTCACCTTGCCCGTCCAAAGCCCTCCGGTTTTGAGAACCGAAAACCAATTATTTCATCCAAAATTCTTCAAATTACAACCAAAATTCACTCCCAATCAGCTCCGAAAGCAATAAAATTCAACGAATCTCTTTCCCAAAACTATCTCCAAGCGCTCCAACGATGAAAAACAACGATACTTTATCAGGAAATTCTTCGAGTCCCAAGCAAAATCGAATCCAATAAGCTCTCAAAAAGTCAAAACTTTCAGAAACGAATTTGCTGCGTTAGGAACAAAATTACTGCTTCCAATTTTCGAAATTGTTTGAAATTTGAGCCAAGAGCGGGGATTCCGAGGGCTTGGAGAGCGGTTTGTCGATGCAAAATGGGGATAAAATTAGGGTATAGAGTGTGAATTTTTGTCTGAAGAGATTTGGTTTGGATTACGAGAGACAGAGAGAGAGTGTGCGCATGTGTGTTTGAGAGAGGAGAGAGAGAGAACGCGGACTTGAAATCTGTTTTTATGGCGCTTTCTTTAGTTCAGTTAATAATTCAGTTTGAGTTCCACTCTCCAGGCCCGCATGGCACATCGTTTTGTCTACTCTCGTTTGTTTTTTCTGTTAAGTGCAGTAATAGGCTTCGTCATACGTTTCACAGTGTCATGCCGCCTTCGCCTTGCTCGTGCGTTTAAACCTATTAATAATAATATTATTATTACTAGAGATAAATCCGTGCGTTCTACACGGTTAGTGGCAGACATGTTTTAGTAGTTATTTTTATTATATTCTTTTATTTTATAAATTTTTGTGGGTAAGGATTAATGCAATTTGTTGTAATTAAAATTATATATACAAATCGTTAAAAGGGTTGACATGAAAATGTAAATCAATATTATGATCTTTTGTAACTTTATACATGCATTGTTAACTTAGTAATAGAAGTCAGTGTTGGTAAACATAATCACATAAGATTTTGGTAGAGCTTTATAAAATATAGACTTGTTTTACCTTACTTGAAGCTGGATTTGATGAAGTTTTTATGGCATATTGTTACAAAATATACGCGCTATAGTTAATTTAGTTATGAATGTATTGCCAATACTTTAAATATATATATAAAAAATAGAGTGAAAATGTATATAAAATATATAGTCTTGCAACAAAAACATGAAACATTTCAACACGTAGCTAGCAAATAGATTTTAGTGTTTCTTTTTGACAGCAAATTCATAAAAGTTTCAGCTTTAACTATGCTTTTGTTAAAAGATATCTAAATATTTAGTTCATTGATTAGTACATTATCTCCTCATCTAACGAATAAGGTTTGAATCTTCCTTTTCTCTAATTAAAAAAAAAACTATGCTTTTATTAAGGGGTTGGTTTGGAGTGTGTCTTGGCTAAGAACAGAAGAGTATAAGCTTTGTTTCCATTTCAATTAAAGAATAATGAAGATGCAATGATACAAATGATTAAGCAAGTGGAAATTTGCTACTACTAAAAGTAAACAATGCTTTTGTTTTTCTTTCTTTACTTTCATTCTCTTTTCCTTTAACATTGCCTTCATTTTGTCCTTTTTCTTTCTTTCTTTTCACAAGAGCTGTGGATAACCTATTTTCATCATTGTCGAGAGCAACTCAACGAAAGCAAAAACTAGTTGTAGCCTCTAGGGATATGCACTTTGACTTACGCTCACATAAGCCATGGACAAATTTTCTTTCTGTCTCAATTTTCCGTTGTTTAATTTCTTTTTATCTAGCGTAAGCCATATGGCTTTCACTTTGTTCTCCTCAAACTCCCGATTTTTCCTTCCCTGTGAAAATTTAAATTACCTCTCTCTTGGAGTCTTTCATCATCATCATCATCATCATCTTTTGTAATTTTTACATAACAATATCTAATATTAAATTCTCTTTTAAGATTATTCTTGTCCAATGATTTTCATTAAACTCTCACCCTTTACTTATTAGTTTGAATGCAATTGCAGTTGTGGGAAGAAATGAGTCAAAATGTGAAACAATATACGAATTAAACCTGGTTTAATATTTTTGGGTGGGCAATTTTTCTTTCTAGTTGGTGTCATGACGTTTTTGAGGTGTGCTCTTTGGGAAAAGTTCTCTAGCTACTTATGTGCTAACTAGTGATGGCAAGGGCTGTTCTCTTAAGCTGTTGCATTGTTGATAGAGGTGTTGCTAGTCTAAAGATGGTACTAGAAGCTAGAGTGGTGGGTTGTTTGTTTACTATCTCATCACAATCAAACATTTTGTAGTTTAAAACTCCTGTTTTCATTGCCTTTGAAGTGTGGCTTATTACAAAAGTCTTTATTTAGTTGATCAAAGCCTTAACATGTTAAACCCCACCTTGATGTAAGAGAATAAATTAAAAAATCTTTATATGAGCATGTAAATTTCATATTTTGAACATCAACCTTGTTTTAATTTTCAAAAGAATTCATTGTCACATTGGTTGGCTATCACTATTTAAGTAAAAATTTTTTTAAGTTTAAAAGGGGTTGAAATATGTGATTTTTATAAAATAATCTATTGGAGGTAAAAAAATGAAGATAATGGTTCCCTTTATATTTAGATAACCAAAAATAATTTTTTTATAATTTTTGGAGTATTTTCTATGGTAAATGAGAATTGCAAATTTAATTTCAGTTGAATATTTTTAATTTTGTCTTTGAAACCAAAATTTAGATTTTGATTCTTTTGAATTTTTTTGATATTTTCGTTTAATCCAAATGGGGGGTGTCTACTTATTTACATTAAGTATCTGAAATTAATGGAGAGTAAAAGAAAGAAGTAAATGTAAATAAGCTGAGCAAGCTTTTGTAGGTAATCTATTTTGGAAATTGCATTTTGTCTTAAGTGTATTGATACATGTTCATGGTGTATCAATACAATTTTTCTAAAACCAAAAGAATCAATATATTGTCAAATGTATTGATACATTTCATTGATTTTTTAAATACAAAAGAGGCCAAATAGGTATTTTCACTTTTCAAAGTATAAATATGTCCTATTCAACAAGGGTTTTTCATTCCTAAATGTTTTCCTCAGCTTTTCTCCTAACTCACAACTCTCTCAAACCCCTTTCCACCTAAGTAATATATTTAAAAATTGGAAGCTTGGTTTTGAGTTTTCATGAGCAAGATGACATTTTTCAACTTTTTAATTTTTAACTCTTGATTCTTCTAACACTAAAGATATTGTTTTTATGCCCAACTTTTCTGTTGATAGTAGTTATCTTAAATATGTAAAGGAATAAATTCATATAATATTCTATCTAAAATTAAAACCGATATAGTAATCAATTAATTCAAGCAATTATTGCAAACAAAAGATTAGTAGAACCTAGTTGTTTATTCAATAAAAATAACTCGAAAAAAAAAATAATAGTAATAACCCATAAAAAATTATCAATTTAAATAAAAAGTTTCTCTAAAAGATATATAATAAAAATAAATGAGGTATTTAATTAAATTAGAATATTAAATATATTATTATAGAAATTGTAATCAATAAAATTATATTCATAAATGCCCTCATTTTAGCATCATTCACGATTTTATCTTGACATAGCATATAACGCATTTATTTTGTTAATGGGACGAGAATCTTGATGATGGGATTTTCTCAAATGACTTGTAGAGATAAGTTCTTCTTGGGACATCCTTAGGTGAGGAAAATTTTTGGACTTCACCAAAGCAATGGAATGGTTTATGAATGATTTTTTGATCCAAGGTTTTCACTTCCCATTATTTAAAATTAGTAAATCGTGACATCATTTTATAATTGTATCATGTGCATTTGTACAGTAGAATAATCATACTTTAGGTTTTTTAAAATAATAATAATAATAAATAAAAAATAGTAATAATAAATTAGAAAGAAAGATAAGAAAAAAAAGCAAGACATGTAAAATCAAGACTAAAAAAATATATAAGGAAGCATAAAAAATAAATAAAAATTGAGATTCAAATAGAACAAATATGATTAAATGGTACCATTCGTGGAACGGGCGTCACAGGAGTACTAATTCTTTCCCTTGCGTAATTGTACTCTCGAACCCACTCTAAAATTCGCAAACCACTTTATTATTCTTTAGACGAACTTAAAATCAATTTAGAATCTTGTTGACAAGAACAAAATCAATAGATGACCAATCACACTTAGATAAAAAGAGATTGGTGGTTACTCTCAAATCTTTACATTTAACGATTAGGTTCCCAGATTTGCACGTTACGACAATATCATCATTTTTTTCTACATCACTACATCTTTATTACCAAACAATAAAATACCGCCAAGACACCAAAATCGTCTAAGAGATGATCATTATATTGAGATTAAGGAATTACATCATCAAATTCAAGAATTACAAAATCAACTTGCAGAAAGTGATGTTGCTCAAATCAACAACAATAGGTCCAAGATAAACCCACAAATCAAGTGGTAAGAGTTGTATTGGAGGACTAGTTATTATAAGCATTTGATTTAACTGGTGGGGAAGTCAAGATTGAAGTAGTTGATTTCATAGGAAGTTACATGCGGAGGATTATTTGGATTAAGAAGAGTTAAAACCTATTTATGATGAATATGATGAAGAGATAGAAGAAATTGATGTTCATCATGCACAAAGTGAGTCTTTGGTGGTACAAAGACAAGTTAAGGAGCTATTGAAGAAAGGTCTAGTATATGAAAGTAAAAGTCCTTGTGCTAGCCCAACTCTGTTAAAGAAAGATAATTCATAGAGGATGTGTGTGAACAACATGCCATAAACAAGATCACAGTCAAGTATCGTTTTCTTGTTCCTTGATTGGATGAGATACTTGATCAACTAGTTAGTTTCAAGGTGTTTTCAAAGATTGATTTGAAGAGCGGATATCATCAAATTAGAATGAGGAGTAAAGATGAATGGAAAATAAACCTTCAAAACACTGGATAGATTATTCAAATGGTTGGTGATGCTATTTGCTTATCACATTCAGAATATTCATGAAGAGGTAAGAGTTACCTTAAAAGCCAATATTGTAGCATGCTCTTTTGCTACCAATCAACATCGTTGTAAGTAAGAATTTGAGAAAGGTGATCAAGTACTTGTGCACTTGAGACAAGAAAGATTTCTTAAGGGACTTACCATAAGCTCAAGTTTAGAAAGTTTGGACCTTGTAAGGTGCTAAAGAAAATAAATTCAACTGCCTACTTAATTGAGCTACCACGTAAGTTACAAATCAATCCTATATTCAATGTTTCAAACTTGTATCCATTTGATGGATTTGATGAGATTTCTCAAGTTCAACACATTCCATTGCTAAGGCTAGAGTTATTGAAGAAGTGTTAGATGTGAAAGAGATTCGATTTGGACAAAGGAACCTGTGTAGGCAATTTTTTTTCTTTAATCTATGGAGAATGATACTGGAGTATGTTATTAGGTTACTTGCACATTAAGATAGAGAATATTATTTCCATAATAATCTTTCCTTAGTTATCGTTTATTTTACTTGTACTTCAAAAGAGTTTAAGTTAGGTTACTTT